AATGACGTTTTACATCCAACCAAGGTGAGGAGATCATGAAACAAATTACAATCTACTTAACGTAATACCTGCGAGGCGAAGTCTCTTCTTCACGCAATGTTCCGGCTTACGAAAAGTGGCCTCTTCCGATAACACCGAGGCCGCGTATTTCTTCAGTTTTCGTGCACTCCCGGGCTCACACTAAACATATAAAACAAAAGAAAAGAAATCACCAACCATTACAACAGATAATGAACTTGCTGTAAAGCTGAAATTACCTCCCCCGCAAAGTGTTCTCTCATTGGTCACTTCAAGGTCACATGACATTTAACAATTACACTGTTTCCTGCCAAACGTTTCTGAGCGGACATTAGGGAGCTTAAGCAATGACGACGGTGACGGCAACGACAACGGCAAAAAAGCAATAGGTTTAGATTGGTTAAAACAACAACTTCGCACGTGCATCACGCTTTTCGTACATTTCTTAGACGTCGTTGCACGACTACAACGTGAAAGAGCCTAATTTTACGTTTTGTCGAGGACGGGAACACACGGCAACAACTTTCTTTTTCTTTTCCTGAACTTTGAAACAGTCCTTTAGAATTCAACTCCAAAAAAATTTGACAGCATTTGATGAATTAAACGAGATGGAATAAGCGCGATAAAGTTTGAAGCAGCGCGAATTCACTTTTTAAGTGACGTTTTCGTGGCCGTCGCCGTCCTCATTGCTTAAGCTCCCTTTTACAAAATCTGTTACGTCAGAGGGTAGCAGCGCGAATGTTAATCGCTGGCAGAGATTCCCTCGAATTCAATGTTTTCCTCGAAACGGTGAAAATCTCGGGAAAGAATTAAATATTTTCGCCGGCACCTGTCCCATTTGTATAGTCTGAAGTGTACAAAATGCGGCATGTCGCAGAGTCCCAATCGATTTCACGTTTCGCCAAGGGGGAATAATGGGAGCGAGAGGGGATCTGTTCAAGAGAGCATAATAGAGAGCTTTAGATTCTAAGACGAGAGCGACTACGTGTACGAGATTTTCTCAGCACTAAGTAGTGTACGCGAGTGAGTCAGCGTCATTTTGGCGGGAAAACGTGGTAGCCGTCGTCATTCTGCTACGACTTTTAGCGAGAATGTCGTGCTGGCGAAAACAAGATATCAAATGTTAGAAGTTTTATCATTTTGCGATCGGGAGAGCGCCTAACCTCCTTCACTAAAGATAACAGTGCTAACTTTCCTAGTAAAATATGGTAAAATGAAGCTTTCCGGGAAGTCTATATTTTGAGAATACGCGAAAAAAGTTGAAGTCAAATCTCGAGCTCGCAGTAGTCCTCGTCCTCGAATCGAAAGGTCTCTAATGTCCCAGCGGCACCCAACCACTGTTTTCTGTAAAATGTCTGTTCGGAGAAGCAAGTATTGCCTAGAATTTTCTATTGCTTGAGGAATGCTAAAAATTTCTAGATGACCGTTCCATTCCTGTACAATTTTCGAAGCTCATCTAATAAATCCCCTACGATTTACTGAAGTTTGATTTTTCACATCCCACGTTAGACTATTTTTCGTAGGAAAAAGGAAACCTAAAATTTTTGGATTCAAAAATGTGATGGAGAGAGGAATCAAACAATTTTTCTTTTTCGTAATGCGCTAAATTGCATCTAAAATTTTCGGGAAAATAATACTGAAGCCCTTGTAATTTCGAAAACACTCAAGTTCCCCTAGGATGACCGAACACATACAAATTTTATAGCGCCACTTAGAATTCATTTCTAGAGATCTAAAATACTCTGGATAGCATAAAAAGTCTTGAAAATGAATTTGGGAGGAAACCCTCGTTGGGTGCCTGATGTCCCATTATTCCTTCTTGACAACAGAGATTAAAAGACCGTTAAATTTTGACAAAAGTCGGATCGAAACGCGCCAATCTCATCTAGAGTCTTCATAGCCAATAGCAGCATCACAGCTTAACTGACAGATGACCAATATCATAACAACTTAAACGACCATTAAGGTCAATGACCAGAGTTCATTACCATCAGCGGACGTGATACAACTATCCTTGACCCTGAAAATGCCGGACAACCGCACCTAAGGTTGTCGAAACGCCAGTCACTATCAACAACAGTCCTATTCAGCACTACATTGTAAATGTAAATGTAATGTAAATGTGTAAATGTAATGTAAATGTGTAAATGTAAATATCATATTATCCACTCCCCTCAGGGCTTTTCAGGAATAATTTACAACACTTGTTGAGGGACATTGCCAGACCCGGACAATCACCCGGACGATCATATTTCACCCACTTATTAAATAATAGCTGCGGCATATCTACAAATCATGTGCCTTGTTTACCTAAAATTAACTATTTACATATTGCTACCAATTACTATAACTACTATTTGTATGTATATAGATATATACTGGAGACGTATTATCCATTTACACGAATTATCTGTCAGACGACTTATTCGTTGAGGTATAAATTCGAGAGACAACTTTACATGGTTTTTTAGTTTGAGGAAGGGACGGGACAAAAAAACGTGCGGCCAGTGCGTTTCGGGTCACGTGGTCCGAGCGAGCTTTTAATAAGTTACCGAAATGCATTGAACGAGAAAGCTGACATACAAGGAATAGGCAAATCGAGGGTTGAATAGTTGGCGAGCAAAGTGTATGATTGTATTGGAAATAATGAACACCGATTTCATATTATCAGCTTGTCTATAATTCCAGAGAAAAAACAAACTAAGATGGCAAGACAAAGAAGAAGCGACCATGATTTAAAATGGAGAAAAAAATGAATAGAAACCTTCCGATGAGAGAGATACCAGTCCCTCTCAAGTCAAAAGGTCAGATAGACGAATAATCGACCTTTTTACCGATACGGCGGCCATATTGAATTAATTCGATTTAAGGAGTATTATAGGATGCCCAGTGGGCATGAGCACATTTCGTTTGTACTTTCGAGCGCTTTTCGGGACATTTTTTCTTAAAGCTTTCTTAGAATAAGATTCTAATGGGAAAGAAGATCCTTACGCGGTGTTTGGATGTAATAATGATCGCCTTTTTCTCGAGAAATATACATTGAAAAACCATATTTCTAATACTAAACTAGAAAAAGGCGATCATTATTACATCCAAACACGGCACAAGGATCTTTTTTCCCATTACAACCTTATTCTAAGAAAAAATGTCCCGAAAAGCGCTGGAAAATACAGACGAAATGTGCTCATGCCCCCTGGGCATCCTATAATACTTCTTAAATTGAATTAATTCAATATGGGCGCTGTATCGGTAAAAAGGTCTATTCGTTAGTCAGCACCTCTAATAGACCTGCTGACAGGCAGACAAATTTTGGCCCAAAACTCGCCAAAAACCAGTTCTGCGACAGATAATTCGTCTCTAATATAAATTCGGCAAATATGTATCAATAATAAGGTGATGATTAAACTAAGTTAATCAATCTACTTCGGATTCGGCTGGATTCGGCTTTAGTAAAACTTTCCTCAAGTTTGATGGATTGACGTTCGGAAGTTTGGGATTCCTGATTTAAGAGGCACGACCAGATGAGGGGTGCTAATTGAGTGTAGTTTCCTCATAGTTTGACGTCACTGTAGGGTTAAGTAACAACGTTGAGTAACAAGGACAATACATTTTTTATGCCTTACAGTTTATTACTGTATTTACTATTTTGAGACTTCAAATCGCGACAACTGAGAAAGTAAAGTCCTGACTAAGCCTCGAACGAAAAGAATTTTTTTACAAAAAAGAAGAAGAGTGAGTGTGTCACTAACTGTTACAATTCTCATCTGTCACCACAGGAACCGAGAGCTTTTCCAAAACTGCCAGAGTTTAATGCAGAGGATGAATTTTATGACGACTGGGAACCTATATATAATGGTAAATATACAATACATTAGGGAGCTTAAGCAACGACGACGGCGACGGCAACGAGAACGGCAAAAAAAGCAATAGGTGTTTGGATTAGCAAAACAGGAACTTTGCACGTACATCACTCTTTTTTGTACATTTCTTTGCCGTCGTTGCACGACTACAACGTGGAAGGGCCTAGCTAATTTCACGTTCTGTCGAGGTCGGGAACACAAGACAGCAACTCTTTTTTCTTTACTTTACTTTTCTTTACTTTCAGGACATGAGGTTATTTACGTTTAGCTACCAGAGAATTATGTGCTTAAATGATTCTGGAATGTCCTGAAACATTTTTCTAAACAGTAGAGAGTTATCTCAGTTTCAGATTTTCAACGGTAGAGTAGTGATGTTTCAGAAAACGGCCCGCGAGTAAAAGAAAATAGGATCTAAATATGTTGCATTCAGGATTGGGGATGATAACGTTTACAAAGGGAGAATTTTCGGAACGCCCTGTAGCAATCCAGTTGTAAAACCCTAGTAGATTACGACAATAAAGAAAAGACGTCAGTAACAAATACTCGTATTACTAAGATAGTAGCATCTTCCTCTTTTCGTGATACACCAGTAGACAAACACCATACGAACTAGATATACCGCCGACGTCTTGAAACAAGCACGTACGATACATCTAGGATCGATCGAGGAGTGGCTGGTCTCATAGTAGGTGAAATGGCTGCATGTTTAAATCAACAATAGAGGGCTGGAATTAGTGTAACCCAATAAACACTGCATAAAAGTGAGGCTCAGCGGAAAACTTCAGTTTAAAAACACCCAAGGTTTCGTGGCTGGCAAAGCGCAAGCATCTGTGCGTCAAGAGAGGGATTGCGTACCCGTTCAATGAAAGGAAACGTTTGCTCGTGGTTGCCTTGGCATCTGCAGTAATTAATCTCCCAAAAATGAAAATAATTTTAAATTTCCATGACTTTCCTGGACAGATTATTAAATTCCATGAATTTTCAGCTCTGGAAAATGAAATTCTGAAATTTCATGACTTTCCAGGTTATACCTAAACCAAAAAGACACAGTAAAATAACTCAGCATTGATCAAACGGTGCAGGTTACTAACTTTGCTTTCCATGCTTTTATCTCTAGAGGGCATGTTAATTGGACACGCACCACCTGAAGACGGTTCAACCATTGAAATACAAGAGATCACGTCATCACCTTTAAATCAAACAGAGAATAAAGTACCAGTTATTGAGACTACTAAATTACCCACCCCGTTAGACACTCGACTTGAAAGTGAGACACCACCGCCAAACCTTGCACAAATTGGCAGTGAACAAACCCCATCTGAAGAGGCTACAAGTGAATCACAATCTGAAGAGTCCACCAGTGAATCACCATCTCAAGAGACGACAAGTGAGTCGCCATCTAAACAGGGCACAAGTAAACCAACATCTAAAGAGGCCACAAGTGAATCACCTTCTCAAAAGACAACAGGTGAATCACCATCTGAAGAGGCCACAAGTGAATCGCCATCTAAAAAGGCCACTAGTAGATCACCGTCTAAAGAGACCACAAGTAGGCCACCGTCTGAAAAGCCCAAAAGTAAATCACCACTTGAGGAGGCCACGAGTAAATCCCCATCAGAGGTGGCACCAAATGAGTCACCATCTGAGAAGGAATCCAGTGGATCACAATCTGAAGAGAAAACCAGTGAATCACCATCTGAAAAGGCAACAAGTGAATCACAATCTGAAGATGGCACAAGTGAGACGTCATCTGAGGAGGCAACAAGCGAGTTACCATCTGAAGAGGCAACAAGTAAGTCACCATCTGAGAAGGCAACAAGTGAATCACAATCTGAGGACGCAACAAGTGAGTCACCATCTGAGGGAGCAACAAGTCAGTCACCATCTGACGAGGTAACAAGCAAGTTACCATCTGAAACGGCAAAAAGTGAGTCACCATCTGAGGAGACAATAAGTGAGTCCCCATCTGAAGACGCAACAAGTCAGTCACCATCTGAGAAGGCAACAAGTGAGTCACCATCTGAAGAAGCAACAAGTGAGTCACTATATGAGGAGGCAACAAGTGAGTCACCATCTGAAGAGGCAACAAGTGAATCACAATCTGAGAAGGCAACAAGGAAGTCACAATCTGAAGAGGCAACAAGTCAGTCACCATCTAGGGAGGCAATAAGCGAGTTACAATCTGAAGAAGCAACAAGTGAGTCACCATCTGAAGAGGCAACAAGTGAATCACCATCTAAGGAGGAACCAAGTGAGTCACCAACTGAAGAGCCAACAAGTGAGTCACCATCTGAAGAGGCAATAAGCGACTTACCATCTAAGGAGGCTACAAGTTCATCACCATCTCAGGAGGCAACAAGTTCATCACCATCTGAAGAGGCCACAAGTGAGTCACCATCTGAAGAGGCAATAAGTGAGTCACCACCTGAAGAGGCAACAACTGAATCATTATCTCAAGAGGCAACAAGTGAGTCACCATCTAAAAAAGCCACAAGTGAGTCACCATCTGACGAGGCAACAAGTGAGTCACCATCTGAAGGGGCTACAAGTGAGTCACCGTCTGAAGAGGCAACAGGCGAGTCACCATCCCAGGGGGCGACAAGTAAATCACCATCTGAAGAGGCCACAAGTGAGTCACCATCTGAAGAGGCAAAAGGTGAGTCACCATCTGAAAAGGCAACAAGTGAGTCACCATCTGACGAGGCAACAAGTGAGTCACCATCTGAAGAGACTACAAGTGAGTCACCATCAGAAGAGGCAACAAGCGAGTTACCATCTAAGGAGGCTACAAGTGAGTCACCATCTCAGGAGGCAACAAGTGAATCACCATCTGAAGAGGCCACAAGTGAGTCACCATCTGAAGAGGCAACAAGTGAGTCACCACCTGAAGACGCAACAAGTGAATCATCTCAGGAAGCAACAAGTGAGTCACCATCTGAAGAGGCCACAAGTGAGACACCATCTGAAAAGACAAGTGAGTCACCATCTCAAAAGGCAACAAGTGAGTCACCATCTAAAGAGGCTACAAGTGAGTCACCATCTGAACAGGCAACACGCGAGTCACCATCTCGGGAGGCAACAAGTAAATCAAAATCTGAAGAGGCCACCAGTGAATCACCATCTGAAGAGGCCACAAATGAGACACCATCTGAGGAGGCAACAAGTGAGTCACCATCTGAAAAGGCAACAAGTGAGTCACCATCTAAAGAGGCTACAAGTGAATCACCATCTGAAGAGGCCACAAGCGAGTCACCATCTGAAGAGGCAACAAGTGAGTCACCATCTGACGAGGCAACAAGTAAGTCACCATCTGAAGAGGCTACAAGTGAGTCACCATCAAAAGAGGCAACAAGCGAGTTGCCATCTAAGGAGGCTACAAGTGAGTCACCATCTCAGGAGGCAACAAGTGAATCACCATCTGAAGAGGCCACAAGGGAGTCACCATCTAAAGAGCCAACAAGTGAGTCACCATCAGAAGAGGCAACAAGCGAGTTACCATCTGAGGAGGCTACAAGTGAGTCATCATCTCAGGAGGCCACAAGTGAGTCACCATCTGAAGAGGCCACAAATGAGACACCATCTGAAGAGGCAACAAGTGAGTCACCATCTGACGAGGCAACAAGCGAGTCACCACCTGAAGAGGCAACAGGTGAATCACTACCTCAGGACGCAACAAGTGAATCACCATCTGAAGAGGCCACAAGTGAGTCACCATCTGAAAAGGCAACAAGTGAGTCACCATCTGAAGAAGCAACAAGTGAATCACCATCTGAAAAGGCAACAAGTGAGTCACCACCTGAAGAGGCAACAAGTGAGTCAACATCTGAAGAGGCAAGAAGTGAGTCACCATCTGAGAAGGCAACAAGTGAGTCAGCATCTGACGAGACAACAACTGAGTCACCATCTGAGGAGGCCACAAGTGAGTCACCAGCTGAAGAGGCCACAAGTGAATCACCATCTGAAGAGGCCAGAACTGAATCACCATCTGAGGAGGCCGTAAGTGAATCACCATCTGAAGAGGGTATAAGTGAGTTACCATCTCAGGAGGCAACAAGTGAATCACCATCTGAAGAGGCCACAAGTGAGTCACCATCTGAAGAGTCAACAAGTGAGTCACCAGCTGAAGAGGCCACAAGTGAATCACCATCTGAAGAGGCCAGAACTGAATCACCATCTGAGGAGACCGTAAGTGAATCACCGTCTGAAGAGGCCACAAGTGAGTCGCCATTTGAAGAGGCAACAAGTGAATCACCTGCTGAGGAGGCGACAAGTGAATCAGCAGCTGAGGAGGCGACAAGTGAATCACCATCTAAGGAGGCCACAAGTGAATCACCATCTGAGGAGGCCACAAGTGAGTCACCATTTGAGGAGGCAACAGGTGAGACACTATCTAAAGAGACAGCAAGTGAATCACCAGCTGAGGAGGCCACAAGTGAATCACCATATGAGGAGGGAACAAGTGAGTCACCATCTAAAGAGGCAACAAGTGAGTCCCCATCTGAAGTTAACACAAGTCAATCACCGTATGAGGACGCAACAAGTGAATCACCATCTGAAGAGGCCACAAGTGAATCACCATCTGAGGGGGCAACAAGTGATTCACTATCTGAAGATGCCACAAGTGAATCACCATCTAAGGAGACATCAAGTGAGTCACCATCTGAAGGGGCCACAAGTAAATCACGTTCTGAGGAGGCAACAAGTGAATCACATTCTGAAGAGGCCACAAGTGAGTCGTTATCTTGGGAGACAACAACTTCTCCACCATCTGAACAGGCCACAAGTGAAACAGCCTCTGAGAAGGGTACAGGTGAATCGCCATCTGACGAGGCGACGAGTGAATCACCGTCTGAAGACCCGACAAGTCAATCGCCATCTGTAGAGACCACAAGCGAATCAACATCTGTAGAGACCACAGGTGAATCACCGTTTAAAGAGAGAACAAGTGAATCAGCATCTGAGGAGGCCACAGGTGATTCGCCATCTGAGGAGACAGCTAGTGAGTCACCATCTCAGAAGGTCACAGGAAAATCGCCGTCTGAGGAGACAACTAGTGAGTCACCATCTGAAAAAGGAACAAGTGAAATGCTATCTGAAGAGGCCACAACTGATTCACCATCTGTAGAGGCAAAAAGTGAATCCCCATCGGGAGAGCCAACAAGTGAATCACCATCTGAAGAGGCCACAAGTGAATTACTAGCTGAAGAGGCAACAAGTGGGTCATCAACTCCGGCACTTACAAGCGAATCATCTTCGCAAGAGGTCCTCACTGAGGTCCCTCTCAAGACACCAGCAAGTGAGTCGCCTCTTAAAGTATCTACCCGGAAATTCCTTTCTGAAGCCGTTAGTGAAGTACCTTCTATGGGGTTATCGAGTGAATCACCTTCTGAAGAAGGAAACACGGTATCACCATCTTCAGCAGTCAGAAGTAAAAATCCCTCGTCAAGGGGAACACCTGAATTACTTGTTAGGACATTACCTGTTCAAACTGAGAACCCTAATGATGTAGCGGCTCAAAAGAAATTCACGACAACAGCATCCACACAGGCCTCAAGTCAGTCACCATCTGAAAAGGCTACAAGTGAATCGCCATCTGAAGAAGCGACAAGTGAGTCACAATCTAAAGAAAGTACGAGTGTATCACCATCGAAAGAGGGCACAACTGAATCACCATCTCACCAGCCCTTAAGTGAACCACCATCTGAAGAGACAAGTGAATTACCATCTGAGGACACATCACCTGCGTCACCATCTGAAGAGACAAAAACTGAATTACCTAGTGAAAAGGCCACAAGTAAGTCACCATCTGAAGACCGCACTACTGAATCGCCATATAAAGAAGCCACAACTCAAAAAGCCACAACTGAGCTACAATCAGAAAATGCATCAACGAGTGCATTGCCATCTGAGGAGGCCACAAGTGATTCGCCATCTGAAAAAGCATCAAGTGAGTCTTCTGAAGAGGCGACAACTGAATTACCATCTGAAAAAGCCACGACTGTACCACCATCTGAAAAGGTTACAACTGATTTACCCCATAAAGAGGCCACAACTAAATCACCCTCTAAAGATCCTACAACTGAGTTACCACATGAGGAGGTTACAACTGAATCACCATTTGAAGAGGCCACAAGCGAATCATTACTTGAAGACGCCACAAGTGAATCACCATCTGGAGAGACAACAAGTGAGTCCCCATCTGTGGAGGCCACGAATGAATCGCCATCTGAAAAAGCGACCAGTGAATCACAATCTAAAAAGGCGACCAGTGAATCACCATCGGAGGAGATAACAAGTGAATTACCATCTGAGGAGGCCACAAGTGAGTCGCCATCCGACGAGGTAACAAGTGAGTCTTTTTCTGAACAGGTGACAACTAAATTACCATCTCAAAAGGCGACAACTGTACAAACATCTGAAAAAGCCAAAACTGAATTACCATCTGAAGGGGCCAAAAGTGAATTACCTTCTGAACAGGTCATAACTGAGTCACCATCTGTAGAGGCCAGAACTAAAACACCTTCTAAAGATCCTACAACTGATTCACCATATGAAGAGGTCACAAGTGAATCACCACTTGAAGAGGCCACAAGCGACTCATTCTCTAAAGAGGCCATAAGTGAATCACCATCTGACGAAGCCACAAGTGAGTCCACAACTGAAGAAGCCACAAGTCAGTCACCATCTGAAGAGACTACAAGCGAGTCACCATCTACAGAGGCTACAAGTGAATCACCATCTGAAGAAGCTGAAAGTGGATCAACATCTGAAGAGGCCACAAGTCAATCAATATCTGAAGAGGCTACAAGTGGGTCACCATCTGAAGAGAAAACGAATAAATCACCATCTGAAGAGACCACAAGTGAGTCACCATCTAAAGACGCTACAAGTGAGTCACCATCGGAAGCGGCTACAAGTGAATCAACATCTGAAGTGACTACAAGTGAATCAACATCTGAAGAGACCACAAGTAAAGTACCATCAGAAGAGGCCACAAGAGATTCACCATATGAAGAGGCTACAAGTCAGTCACCATATAAAGAGACTACAAGTGAGTCACCATCTGAAGAGGCCACAAGTGAGTCACCATCTGAAGAGGCCACAAGTGATTCACCATATAAAGAGACTACAAGTGAGTCACCATCTGAAGAGGCCACAAGTGAGTCACCATCTGAAGAAGCTACAAGTGAATCACCATCTGAAAAGACTACAAGTGAATCAACATCTGGAGAGGCTACAAGTCGGTCACCATCTGAAGAGACTACAATTGAGTCACCATCTGATGAAGCTACAAGTGAGTCGCCATCTGAAGAGGCCATGAGTCAATCACCATCTGAAGAGGCTACAAGTGAGTCACCATCTGAAGAGGCCACAAGTGAGTCACCATCTGAAGAAGCTACAAGTGAGTCACCATCGGAGGCGGCTACAAGTGAATCAACATCTGAAGTGACTAAAAGTGAATCAACATCTGAAGAGGCTACAAGTGGGTCACCATCTGAAAAGGCTACAAGTGAGTCACCATCTGAAGAAGCTACAAGTGAATCACCATCTGAAAAGACTACAAGTGAATCAACATCTGGAGAGGCTACAAGTCGGTCACCATCTGAAGAGACTACAATTGAGTCACCATCTGATGAAGCTACAAGTGAGTCGCCATCTGAAGAGGCCATGAGTCAATCACCATCTGAAGAGGCTACAAGTGAGTCACCATCTGAAGAGGCCACAAGTGAGTCACCATCTGAAGAAGCTACAAGTGAGTCACCATCGGAGGCGGCTACAAGTGAATCAACATCTGAAGTGACTAAAAGTGAATCAACATCTGAAGAGGCTACAAGTGGGTCACCATCTGAAGAGGCTACAAGTGAGTCACCATCTGAAGAAGCTACAAGTGAATCACCATCTGAAAAGACTACAAGTGAATCAACATCTGGAGAGGCTACAAGTCGGTCACCATCTGAAGAGACTACAATTGAGTCACCATCTGATGAAGCTACAAGTGAGTCGCCATCTGAAGAGGCCATGAGTCAATCACCATCTGAAGAGGCTACAAGTGAGTCACCATCTGAAGAGGCCACAAGTGAGTCACCATCTGAAGAAGCTACAAGTGAGTCACCATCGGAGGCGGCTACAAGTGAATCAACATCTGAAGTGACTAAAAGTGAATCAACATCTGAAGAGGCTACAAGTGGGTCACCATCTGAAAAGGCTACAAGTGAGTCACCATCTGAAGAAGCTACAAGTGAATCACCATCTGAAAAGACTACAAGTGAATCAACATCTGGAGAGGCTACAAGTCGGTCACCATCTGAAGAGACTACAATTGAGTCACCATCTGATGAAGCTACAAGTGAGTCGCCATCTGAAGAGGCCATGAGTCAATCACCATCTGAAGAGGCTACAAGTGAGTCACCATCTGAAGAGGCCACAAGTGAGTCACCATCTGAAGAAGCTACAAGTGAGTCACCATCGGAGGCGGCTACAAGTGAATCAACATCTGAAGTGACTAAAAGTGAATCAACATCTGAAGAGGCTACAAGTGGGTCACCATCTGAAAAGGCTACAAGTGAGTCACCATCTGAAGAAGCTACAAGTGAATCACCATCTGAAAAGACTACAAGTGAATCAACATCTGGAGAGGCTACAAGTCGGTCACCATCTGAAGAGACTACAATTGAGTCACCATCTGATGAAGCTACAAGTGAGTCGCCATCTGAAGAGGCCATGAGTCAATCACCATCTGAAGAGGCCACAAGTGAGTCACCATCTGAAGAGGCCACAAGTGAGTCACCATCTGAAGAGGCCACAAGTGAGTCAACATCTGAAGAGGCTACAAGTGAGTCAACATTTGAAGAGGCTACAAGTGAGACACCATCTGATGATGCCACAAGTGAATCACCATCTGAAGTGGCTACAATTGAGTCAGCAACTGAAGATGCCACAACGGAGTCACCATCGGAAAATGCCACAAGTGAATCATCATCTGAGGAGGCTACAAGTGAGTCACCAACTGAAGATACTACAAGTGAGTCACCATCTGAAGATGGCACAAGTGAGTCACCTTCTGAAGAGGCCACAAGTGAATCGCCATCTGAAGAGGCTACAAGTGAGTCACCATCTGAAGATGCCACAAGTGAGTCACCATCTGAGGAGGCTTCAATTAAGTCACCAAGTGAAGATGACACAAGTGAGTCACCATTTGAAGATGCCACAAGTGAATCACCATCTGAAGAGGCCACAAGTGAGTCACCATCTGAAGATGCGACAAGTGAGTCACCATCGGAAGATGCCACAAGTGAATCACCATCTGAGGAGGCTACAAGTGAGTCACCATCCGAAGAGGCCACAAGTGAATCAACATCTGAAGAGGCTACAAGTGAAGCACCATCTGAAGAGGCCACAAATGAATTACCATCGGAAGAGGTAACAGGTGAAGCATCCTCTGAAGAGGCTACAAGCGAGTCACCAGCTGAAGAGGCTACAAGTGAGTTACCATCTGAAGAGGTGATAAGTGAGTCACCTTCTGAAGAGGCCACAGTTGAATCGCCATCTGAAGAGTCCTCAAGCTTATCATCTAAGGAGGTACCAAGCGAGTCATCATCTGAAGAGGGCAATAGTGAGTCACCACCTGAAGATGCGACAAGTGAGTCGCCCTCTGAAGACAGTACGAAGGGAGGAACATTAGCAGTAGGGGTCACAACTGAGACACGATCTACGGATCTCACAACGGAGTCTCCTTCTAGTTCTATTACTACAAAAATACCTGTGAGAACCTTAGCACCTGTAACAGAATCTACCCCGAACGGTGTTGCTCAGGTTAAAGTCTCAACTGGATCAACATCGGAGGAGGTCCCTACTGAAAGACCCTCTACAGCGTCAACTGAAATACACCCAGCGCTCACAACAGCTGTGGCTGAAAATGAGGTGACGGAGACAACGACATCGCTTGATTTGGAGTCTAGCACACAATCGGTTACTTTGAAAACCGCTGAATTCACTGAAGTTTATACAGTTCCTACACCGACAAAAATGACACCAACGCCGACTTCAGAGAATGGGCATTGTAGCGACAATGGTAACGGTATCGACAGTTGCAAAGACACTGCCGTCATTGGCAGAACTAAGGATAATAACGGTAAGACATAGTCATGACCGTGCTAAGCTTCCTCTCAGAATAAGCTTGATAGGCACCTGTTTTATCGAGAAAACAAAAAATGAAGTCTTTTTAACTGATGTCCGTATTAAGCGGGTTAGTTTTATAGAAAATATACACGCGTTTCGTCGAGACAATAGAAACCGTCTGTTATAGGCGGGTCTCCGTAAGGAGGGTACAACTGTACAAGTAAAACCCTCACCAACCTAAAATGTTTCGATGCCTCGTTTCTAGTATAACCTTACGAACGAACGTCCCGGTGAAACATAACACGGTTGAAAACTGCGGAGAGCTGGGACTACCGATTGAGCTAGTAGAAGGAGCCGTCAGCTTCAGCCGTCGGCTTCTTTCAAAACTCTTCTTGTCCAAATACTTTGATGATTTATTGTGGTATACCGCCATAGAATGAGCACCACATTTGAGGGCAAAAATATCAGTAAGCGGCTTACCTGAATAAGGGCCGCACCCTCCGTGCTTATTGTCTGGTATATATTTTTTTCTTTTTCAATGCTGATTATTATGGCAAAAGATGTTATTTACTTGGATTTGGTGGATGACATAGACCTCTTTCATACGCTATGAAGAAGAAAAGATTACGTGGTACTGCTATTTGCAAGTAGGAAGTTTTAAATAGCACCGCAACTTGACAAGCGCTATGGCGCTACTTTTTCGAGTACATATGGTAAATAGTAAAGAGTATTAATGCAAAGAGTTACATTAGGCACCATTCCTTCGAGGGGGGAAACAGGAGTGATATTTTTAACAGTTGTTGAATGAATGTAATACCCTTTGTTTGCCAGAAACATGCGATCCCACTTGCAAGCAAGGTAAAATGTGCATCAAAGTGGACAATGACTACATCTGTGACTGCCCCACTGAGTGCGACGAGGAGGAAGAGCCCCACTGCTCTGTGTTCCTGAAGGACTATCAAAACCTCTGCGAAGTACATCGCCACGCCTGCAGGATGCAAATTAACGTTGCTGTCAAGCATAAAGGGAAATGCGGTACTGATGGTTTCTATACTCTAACCCTTTCAAGTACTGATTAATTTCGTTAATATATAGTGATCTAGCCACTTAAGTTAGCAGATTGTCCTGACAGTTAACCACATCAATATAAAAAGAGCAGCAAATTCATACTGTTTTGTTGACGAAACACATCAGGCTTGGTAAGGGAGAATTATCTTCCTGTTTTCATATTTTTTTTTTGAACATCATTTACAGTTTCCTATAAGAATGCAGCAGCACGTCTCCTGTGAACCAAATAGCTAAGTAGCAATGTTTAGTTGGTCCTTCAGGGAAGAGATTCTTGGGTCTTTCGCTGCAACAATTTTAACATGTTTGCGACGTCATTTTGCGAAGGAAAAATATCACGCTGCGGCACATCAAAGACAGCACCATTAGCTCTATCAAACTGAATCGGTAGTTTTCCTTCTGGGCACTTTCTCAATGCAGTTTCATCCAAATGCCATGAAAGCTCGGTCCTTTTCTGGCCTCTGTGTCTCATCAAGGAGGGGGGGGGGGGAGTGTAATATACCTCTTGGTGCTTCTAAATACGGAACATAAGTGAGGCGTAAGTCCTTTGGGTTTTCGGGGTCTTAATTTTTGTAGTCCAGTCGAATTACATTTTAAGGGTTCGTCACGCTATTTGCCATCTTTTTAAAAAGCTACTACTTTTTTGGCATTTTATGAATTCCAAAAATAATGGTCCAATTTTGTTATTCAAGACTTCAGTTAGGTATTGAAACTGTTTGCTGTTGTCTGTTGCAAAGAATGGCAAGAATGGACATGGATTGAAACATGAAAAAGTTGGGCAAACCTTTTCAAGTTTTCATGCTATGCCTACAAAAATCACCTAAAAAATTATCATGGTTAGTGCTCCCTGATGAAATTTGTGTGAAATCCACTTCATAACTCTACAGGCGCATTTTGTGGATGGGTAAAGGCACTGTAAGTAATGAATTCCGCACATGGTTGACATAAAACGGCCCCATTAACCTTGTTCGCAGTAGAGAGAGTCCGCTATATTATCGAAAGACTGCTTGGACAGCATGAGTAAGAGGAATATTTTGTTGACATCGCATCTTTTTGTAGACGATGCAAGTGGCGAGCAGATTTCAAAACTAGCCGATGAATCCTTGGTTCCAACGGACCAGTGTCTGGAAGATGAAGTGTTACAGTTCGCAGAGCGCTTTCTGGAATGGGCTCTAATCAACAAAGCACTTTATGACAGCGATGATCCAGATTCAGTTGACCTGAATGCTGTAGTACTTCAAGCTCGCGAATTTGGAATCTCTGAAGTGGAGAAGAAAACTATTTTGGAGGTAAAAATCTTACTTTTAATTTAATGCCTAACACTGTATAAATGTTGGTCTCCGTCATGAATGATCAGCAGGTCGTTTTTCTGCGCTTTCGGCGGCTGCATATGTTGCGCAGTAGGAGGGGCACTCGTGTCCCACCGATGTGGTCCAGGCTCGAAGTTCCGTAGTCGTAGTTTGAGTTTGTGTTGAGTTCTCTTTTTTGCTCCGAAAGACGCTTCTCCAGGTACCTCGGTTTCCCGCCTTTCAAAGTAAGAAACGTACGTTACCCTTCACATCGTTTTAAATACTGTAACATTTTGTACAACTTATATAAATGAAATATTGATTTTACTACCCGTTTTAAGCATTAAGATGCTGAAATGTCCCATGAAGTCGTAAAAAGACATATGAAAAGAAATCTTGCACAATTTACATTATTAAAAACTGTATCAGTGGATAATGCAATTCTAGAGCTTAGCCATCATGGTATCTGAGCCATTATACTATGCTCTCCAAATATGGTAACTGTACGCGTGTGCTCAAAATTAAAAACAAGCTGTAAAGCGGTTTTCTTTACAAATAAAGTCGGGAAGAATTCTCGATATTTTGTGGGCGTTTTTAATAAAACAATTATTCCACTCAAGCTTGTTGGATATGAGATGATTATAGCCAACTCATATCCAACGCGCGCTCGTGGAGTAATTGTTAAATATACCAGTCTTCGAAAGTCTTTTAAAAACGCTCTTACCTACACGGTTTGACACACACACAGATTCAAATTCTAAAAATCATGTACCAAAGGCGTCTGCTTGGCTTCATATTCATTCCACTCTCTTAACTATGTTTTGATTTTCTTTTAGCAGCCCTTTTGATAGCATTTATTACATAGGATTCAACACGCACGCTGCTTTGAGACAGTTCCACTTAAATGGGTTCGTTTATTTAAGCCTCTCACATCGGGGGTTTGTTTACCCTTTTCACTTCCAGAATTGGCTAGATTCAAAATTCGACAAAATTCCAAATTTCAATAAATACTGAAAATACTGCTGAAGAAGTTTCATTTCATTTTGGATGGTCACACTATAAGATTTTATCCACAGACTCTAAAGCTAGAATTACAGGTTTCATTTGAATGATCACACCACAGATTTGGTCCACAGACACAAAAGTTAGACCCAGATTACACGAATTCATCATTCACTATGGGAGCAGAATGTCGTGTCGTTCAATTGGTATAGGTAATAGCATGATTTGTAGTGATATTTGGCATAAATACCACTCGTGATATTTCAAAATTGTTATACGTAATTTCATGAGCCGTTAGGCGAGTGAGATTTGAGACAATTTTGAAATATCACGAGTGGTATTTATGCGAAATATCACGTACAAGTCATGCTATTATTTGTTTATACTACAACCCGCAAAAGGTTTGTAATTTTCAAATATAGATATTTCAAATTAAGCTGAAATACCACTGCTCTGAGCCAATCAAACTGCAGAAATTTCTCAGTTAGTAGTATAAAGTCTGTAATCGTACAGCGTTATCACTCGTATGATTGCAGTCTTAAGTGGTCCTAACTTTGGGCCGCTACCAACTGTTTCAACTTTGATCTTGAGGTTCATGTCTCAGTTAGAACGTGTGGTCACATAGTAAGTAGCTCACAGTATTTTCATTTTTATTTCGTTTTCTTAGTTCCAGTTTGACCAAATGGATCACAACAAGGATGATCTTCTTCAAAAATCTGAGGTAGACGGAATCTTGACGCATGTCCCTCATGAGGAATGCTTGTTTGGTTTTATAATTTCAAGTGACGCGAACAAAGATCACGTCTTAGACAGAACTGAGTGGGAAGAAGGCTTTGCGCATGTCGGTGAGTATAATCAACTTGAGTGGAAGCAGCGTGGCTGAGCGGTTAGAGCCCTGGGGTCGGTTGCTCGAAGCCTGGTTAGCGCTAACCGTTGGTTAAGAGGTATCAAAATGTATAGGTTTTCCATGGTATTTAACGCTGGTTAGCACTAACCATGCTTCGAGCAACCCGGGCCTGGCCGCTAGCTGGACTTTTTGCCCCTGGTCCCGAGATCAAATCCTCGGCCACGCTTGTAAAATAGCCAGCCGGTCTGCGTCCTACCAGTTGGGATTCCTCACCTTGTTACGTTCCATTTTAATTATTGGTTTCATTATCCCTGAAAAGCTCCATACGAGGAGAGGATAATCGAGTATTTATTTAATTAATTATTTAGTTAGTTATTTTAAGTTTCTTTGATCTTTTAGTGCGATTTTACTTAAGCCGTGAAAGAGATAGTAGACTAATACAAGCTATCACTCTCTAATTCCTTGTTTTCTTTGGTTTACTTGTAACTATTTGGCACTGTTACATACCGTTTCTCGGGTTTGTTAACACTCTAAAATACATACCTATTTCTTGGTTATCCTGCGATCACGTCAGCCTTTCTCTCTGTAACTCTGCAATGCATATCTCCCCTCCTCTCAAAAAGGAAAAAATGATCGCAGGTTCTATCTGGGCGTTATATAACAAAACATGGCTTTCCCTAAGAAGTAGCAAAGTAAACACGTCGTTAAAATAAACATCTACCATCTAATGCGCACTTGAAAAGATTTTGTGGTTTAATTTTGGAAAGTTCTAAAGGGACCATGTTTTACGAGAAGGAAAATATCCAGACTTTTTAGTTTTTTACATCTCAAAATATGAACAGCATATGGTTTGAAAAGTTGCTTAAAACTGGACATGATTCGTTATGGTAGTGCCATGCTAACTTCACTTTAACTCGGTGCACGCTTAGGCCAGGTCAGCCGAGTTCGTTGAACAACTTTACATGTGACGAACTTAATGCTATGGGCATAATCCCTTGCTTTCGCTCATTAGCTTTAGGTTCGTCAACTTTGGTCCGGACCTTACACATGAAATAGCCTGAGAAAATGGACAACATCTCGCGACACCACCACCAGTTTTCCCGCGAACTGACACTGAGGAATGAGTGTTGAAATTCAATACTGATGACGTGTCACTATCCAGATCTGGGTAGTGCTTCTGATTGGTCGTGCTGCCAGGGAAATTTGATTCAACCAATCAGAAGCAGACTCATACCTGGGTAGACAAACGTCATCAGTATGGGGTTTCTGCGCTCATTTCTCACCAGTGGTTGCGTCGCGAAATGTTGGCTGTTTTCGACTCAGGACACACTAATGAACTCGGACCGGGATGACAGACTCGACCTGCCCACGGTGTACCACTTCCTTTTGAATCATGTGATCATAGGGGGTCACACAATTCCTACTACCTTCTCAAAAAGCGACGCAGTTGGCTGAAGGGACTCAGTCCGGTTTACGGTCAAGTCGCCCGAAATCAGAGTTATGTCGCCCGAAATTTCTAGTCACGTCGCCCGAAATTCTGAGTTATGTGGCTCAGCATTTCGGGCGACTTAACTCTTGTTTCGGGCGAGATGACGTTTGTGCGACTTGACCAGTTACCCTCAGTCCAAATATATTAAGTGTGTTCAGTGCCTCAAGACGCTCTGAGTTAGGAAATATGGCAAACAATGCATGCACGATTCCAAATTCCGCTTCATCTAACACTAATTTATATTCCTTCCAGAAAGCGTAGCCGAGGATGTGCTTATTCCCTAAACATTTATCGCCTTCCATTATCACCGTCATCTTCCTCAGGAATTCGTCCAAACACACGGGTTACGTTGGTGAAAAAGAACAGAAGGACTGTACATTTAATTAAACTGTAGTAAATACGACTTTTGCAAATAGTTATTAAAGAATGGCTTAAGTGTTTTGAAAGCTTTTCACCAGCATATAATATATGTAAATTTCATGCCTACAAAGTTGGCGCAATTTAGATAAGAAAAAGAAAAGAATCGCGCCGATAAGGTATAAACGATGGCTTTGCAATATCTGTAAAAATTTAGAAATCTGAATTAGATAACTAATACAACTAAAGAATTATGTTGGCTCATTTTTGGCGTTAGAAGACGTACTAGATTAGTAGTGTCTTCTGTGTTCACCGGTGTGACAAGCTAGGATATTGCTGTTGATGAATTCTAAGAGAAGTCGCTTTTACTCCGATGAGAGTCAAACAGAAGTGTATAAAGGTGAAGCACAGGCTCAGAAAACTTGATACACGGATCATTATTCATCTGAGAAAAAGCTAGACCGGCAATTCACCTTCGCTATAAATTCTGTACTTTCGCTTCAAATTGAGGCGGATTTCCACTGTCTTGTAATTTTACGTGCGTACGCGCGCAAATAAAATCGAGGCAATTAATGTATGAAAGGCCGTCGAAAACGTAAAATTTGCGCGAGGTTCAACCTTTACGCGCGACGTTCTTACATATTTGCCTCCATTTTTTTCACGCGCGTACGCACGTAAAAATTAATTGACAGTGGCAATCCACTTATAGACGGATAGTGTCTATCTGTAGTACTAGATTTAGAATTAGGTGGCAAAATTCGTCTTCTACTTCTTAAACTTTAGGACTGTTGACAAAAAGATCAGCTGAGGGTGGATAATATATCTATGGTATCCTGTTCGTAAATTAACCCTATATTTAATAACCGAACCGAACAAATATAGCCAATGAAACCTTAATCCAGCTGATTTGTCTTAACGGTATAATAACTGCATCCAGTTTGCTTTGGAAATCGTTGTTGCCACTAAAGGTGGAGTTTATAGAGAGAACGTACTTTGCGTTAGAAGTAATGTCCCTTGTAATAGCTTTTGGAAGCCGTCAATTGCAGTTGTGTGCAATGAACATGTCCTGCAAATTCCAATGACAGCTGCATGGTCGATTCTGTTCATTTTCCACACAAACTTAATTATTGCTTCAGAATGTGAGCATGTTTCCTGAAAAAGGGGTAGTTCACACCAACTTGTTCATCAATTTTCTGTATTTTAAAACTCTACACTTAGAATTGGCAACACAATAGCCCTCTATTAATTAAATATCACCCAAATAACTAACAAATACAATTCTGATTCGCAATAGAATTATTAAAACTTTCATAACAATCTGAGATAAACTTTTAAAAATGGGAGGAACGTTTTTTATGTCACTCCACTGAGTTTTGTCTGGTCAAATATTGATATTGTAAAACCCAGCGCTATGATCAGATAGTGCCAAAATCGCCTCAGTAAAATTGTGTGTAACCACAACATTTAAGAGACTACTAGGTAAAAAAAAAAAATTAAACAAAGCATGCATGTGTGATATAATATTTATGTCAAAGGCGTGCATGAGAATATGCTCTCTTTTTATTTAAGAGTTATCTGTAGCATTTTTTTACTGCTTGCCTGCAATCTGCACAACTGAAAGCTTTAAGAGTTAGAAGGTCATCACCATAAGTTTCCTCTTGATTAAATTTCATCTCTAGTTTAAAAGATTACTGATGCCTTTTTCTTCTTTTCATCTCCCCACTTAGGATTATGCTCTAAATACAAATTAAATAAGACGGTTTGGCAGATTTGATCTAGGGAAAAATAAAAATTATTCTGTAATCTTTGAGTGTTTTCAAATTAAACTGTTGTTTTTGTTCAGCGGCAATGTTAATGTAGCTGCCATAGTTTCGTTACTGAAGAAAATTGTAGCATAACAGCTGCAAAGACATTGATAGGGTATTGAGGACAGCAGGGGTCAAGTTTAAAGTGCAACCTCAATAGATTTCTAATATAATATAGTATAAAATAAAATAGAGGATATTACATGGCTGAACGGAGATACGAAATATCTCTTCGAGTGTTGAAAAATATTTCACTCGTTCGCTGCGCTCACTCGTGAAATATTTTTTTAACACGAGAAGGGAAATTTCATATCTCCAAGCAGCCATGTAATGTTCTATTTATTATATAAACACCAATGAAATACCAAACCATTTCACTTTAATGGTTTTTTGGTGTGAAAGGCGTGATTTATGATGCAGCCATAGCAACGGTGATATTTTCACATGTGAAGATAACATGTTATTTTCACATGTGAAGATATCAAGTTTTCATGCGAAAGCTCACCTGGTATTTTATTGGTGTTTATATAATAAAGTAAAGTTAACTTTTGCAAAAACATTAGTCTTCTTGTACGTGTATACACATGCCAAACCATTTGATACTGGATTTTTGCCCAATTTTTGTATGATCTCATTGGCTAGGAAGGGGGAGAGTTCCAGTTGCTTTTAAGCTTACAATATTATTTTGGATTTTTAGCATAATTAAATTAATGTGACAGTTGTAGTGTCTTTAAGTCTGCAAAACTGTCTGAGCACCTGTGACCAGGTGCTAAGTTAGGCTAGGTGTCAAAATGCTAAAGTACACAGGTGTGTACCCAGTTGTGTTGAACTAGCTAGTGTGAACTGAATTTAATAAAGCTGCTATTTATCTCTAATGTGACGATTTTTTGTTTTAAAAAAACTGAAATTAATGTTCGCCATTGTAATATAATAATCTGATTGGTTTTCACGCACTTTGTCATCGCCAATTCATCACGATCGGAGTCATATCAGGGAGTATTTTTTGCACAAATGATGTCATGTGCCATGCGTCATGAGGTCATTATCATCCCTTCCCTATCAATTCTCAATATTTAAAGACGTGGGGGGTTGACAGCCCTGGTTAAGCACTTGTCTTGTACATACTACAAGAGTGAGATCAGCCAAGTGCTTTGAGATGGAGCCTTCAATTTTATGTTCCTTTTCTGGGAAGAACATCATTGGAGACCCAGGAGCTGTCAGTAGGTTAATTTGGAAGAAATGCTGCAACAAAGGTTTTTAAGGATAGGGAAGTACCAGTCTCCCTGTTCTTAAACACTTTAATCGTGCTGTTTCTCCCACTGAGTTGACTGAGTCTGCCCCCGAGTCTCCAATGATGGAGAAGTCTGGAATGTCTAACCATTATCTCAAAACCCTGAGGCCTGGCCGGGAAACCAATCCTGGTTCTGTGGATACAAAGCCTGGAACTCAACCAAATGTTTCTGAGCAGTTCCTAATTTGCATGTGCAGGTGTTCTTCACTTTGATGAATATAAAATCAGTTTAAAAAGTATTTTTCAGACTTGCTAACAAATTAAAAAGATGCCAGAAACCCTCACTCTTTTAGAACCATTTCTACAGATTTGACATTATCATGCACCGCTAGGGCAGATCCCAGACATGTGAGTCAGCCCAGGGGGGTGGAGAGTATGAGACCTTGATTGCACAGCTGTAATACTGGGGTGGGGTCAATATATGGGAGGGGTGGAGGTTTCAAATACTTTGATGATCTCGGATGGAGATCTTAAAGATGAAGTTTAAACGTTAAGAGGAATCAACTAGAAAACCATGTTCCTTCTCCATAAAACCAGAGGGGCCTGCAAAAGGATTAAGTGCAAGTTTTGAAAGCGAGTAAACCAGGTTGCTCATGAATATCTCTTAAATTTCCCACTGATCACTGGCCGGGGGCATTAGAATGTCGTTTGTACAAATTTTCTTGCTCTTTTTTGCCAAGTAACATGAAGTAAGAAGCATAGATTACAATAATTAATATATACAACCATTATTGTTATATTATGGGCATTAAAATATCATTTTTGGTCTGGAAGATGAAAAAAAAAGATGGAAGATGAAAAAAAACCTCAAATTCCAACACTGTGGATTAAAACTAGCAGGGTTTCCAAAGCCGGTTTTCGTTACCTTTTCTCCATGTCTGTATCAGTAATATCTTTCTCTTCTCAAGCAACAGGTCTAAGTAGTAACTGAAGTATAGCTACTCCTGCTTTCTCCCTTTTTGAAGCCGGTTTTGCCTGGCTATTACTATTCACCTGAGAACCGCTGGTTCAATGAACTAAGGTCGCTCACGCCACAGACCTCCGCGTGCGAATCGTTCACGAAGACGAACGTTTCGACAGAAAACTTGGACCATCTTTTGATTTTACTGTGGAGGGAAAACAAATTTAACTTCGTTCCTGATGAAAAGGAAGTTGACTACGAAACGTATGAACAGTGTATCAGCTATCCTCCCCGTCAGATGTTATTAGGGGTTCGTCACGCGATTGTCTGCGGGGGGAGTCTATGTATCAGCCTTTTTTTTTTTTTAATGCTTTTTTTTTTTTATTTTGTGGGAAAGAGGGGGGAATACGCGAAAAAATAGGGGAATATCTCAACCCAATTTTAAATAAATAAAAAGGAGGGGAAAGAGAAAAAAAGAAGGAAAAAAAAATTAAAGGTAACCCAGACGGGATTGAAACACCCGCCGTCCTTTAGCATTTTTTTTTTTTTTAATGCTTTTTTTTTTTTAATTTGTGAGAAAGATGGAGGAATACGCCGAAAAATAGGTGAATATCTCTACCCAATTCTGAATCAATAAAAAGGATGTGATAGTGAAAAAAAGGAGGAAAAGAAAATTTAATGTGACCCCGACGTGATTCGAACACGCAGCCTTCTGATCTGGAGTCAGACGCGCTACCATTGCGCCACGGAGTCCCGGATAAGAAAAATTAGCTTTATTTTATGTTTTTGAATCTTTTTTTAAACATGGCGCAGGGCATGGCGTTTCCTTTCCAAAGGCCAAAGTCGGTAAAGGGAAATAAGAGAAGGAAATGATTCTCATATGTTTATCTGAGTAACTGTCTGCAAAGGTTCGGATAAAATCTGAACTCATTTAAAAATCAGACATAAAACAAAACACATAAGAAGTTGTCACGGTAAATTTCACTTCCGGTTGTCGCCGTCGAGTGCACAACAAGGCGGGAAATATCGACATTTTCTCTAGATTTTCGACAGCTATCTCTAATCAGTCCGTCTTGTCCAAAAGGCCAAGCTGATGTCGTGAACCCGTGAAAACTTTCAGTTTCGATTTTGTCCCTCGCTGCTGATAAAAAGTCAGCTGAAAAAGAATTCTTAACATTTCCGAGACATTTGTATTGCCTTCGCACAAATCCATAAGTGAACTTTTTCTACCATGGATAGTCACCGACGCATCCGTTTTCTGCAATTCTGGGTTCATTGTAAAGCTAAATAATTTTGGACATCATATGGTTGCTCTATAGTTTTTTCTGTCCTTCGGCTTAGGATTTTAATTTGGAAACTGAAAGCAACTTATCTTAGATGGGCTCAGGCTTTTGTGAACGTTTACTGTTGGGTTTACTCGTGGATAATTCCTCTGCTTTTAAAAAATGGAAGAAACAACCAATAGACACAACAATAGCTACAAGAAACGTATTTTAGTATTAGAATTATATATTTATCGTTTTGAAATATGTACATTATTTTAGGCTGTATCTTAATGTAACGTTTTCAAAAATTTCAAGATTTCACTAAATCCCCAGCTTGCAGCTTTCTATGGCCACCGCCTGTTACTCGTTCCCGTTGTTGCCTCAGCGAGGAGGAGCGATGTTCGTAGGCCTACAAAATCCTTCGTTTCCTGGGTGACTGCAGAAAGTCTACTTTTTCCCCAGCCCCACTATCTCTGAGTCCTTAGGTTCGATCGTGGACAAATACCCGCAGTTCTCGCAGGTGACCGAAATTAGGTCAAATAACGAAGGAGCAAAAGGGAAGATATTCAGTTTAATAATACTGAAATGAACTGAGGAATTTGGTAACTGTGGATTCGTGTGAGAATTAGACGCGATTTATCACTGTAAACACACGAGAGCCTAGTGAGGTTTTGGAAAATCACCAGTCAAACAACTTAGATGCAATTTCAGTATTAAGCCTTAAATTTTTTTATTCAAACAGTCTGTTTAGTTTTCTTGTAGTATAGCCAGTTTCAGACGGTGTTTCCCTGCGGGAAATTTCTTCATTTAATTTGGAAAATCGTCAGACGTGCTTGATGTCAACAGATAAATTTTATTCTACCTGTCAAAAAAACTTCAGCTGTAATGACAAAAATAGCAAGTGAGCTAATCAATATGCTACTAAGCCAGCTTCGATAGGCGCTCATTAATATGAAACTGCGTTCAAAAACTACACATTCAAGTTCTAACCTGCTTTGCGGCGTCCTTAGCGCTGTCTGTCGATTCACAAACACTATATAAGTATTTGCGAGAAAACAGAGAACGCTACATGAGGTAAGGTACACACCTTTGCGTGTGCAACGATAACTAAAGAGTCTAAACAATCTAAAACGCCGCTGTATATGTCAACTTTTCCTTCAAGGTAGGAGACCACACAACCAATGGGGGAGAAATTTTTTCATCTTAGTGTCGTTACCTAGAAGCCGGAGGCAAATTTACAAGTCGATTTTAGCGGTGTGGCAAGCAAACAAAATTGTATTGTCTACCATATTTAATAGCGTCCTCGCAGGTACTTAATCGCTTTGGTAATACGGTACAGGATTTAGCTCAAGATTTTGCAAGGATCTGAGCAACTGAACTCTACTCAAGAGGTTTCTCCATCGCAAATGTAGCTTGACTCAGTCCAAGGAGCACTTGGACAGATGAAGCATCACTCGACTTGTTCTATTAACCATTTCGTCCAAATTTCCGTGAATTCTGAGACACTGAGCTTCTGCTAAACTCAATATCTCTAAACTGTACTGTATAGCGGAGTTGATTCTGCATTCCCTTACAGTTCGTAGAGGAAAATTTTACCATGAGTTATTACCAACAAACGTCTTTTCAACCAGCGCATTACTATCCATCAAACGATCCTGTAGCTGGTGGAACTTTTCAAAGGGAATTCCCTCCGCCAAATTCAAGGGTGTACCTGGATCAGCCCTACCACCCATATCCCATGGTAGCCCCGCAAACTACAGTGTTCGTTTACGACGATCATCCCGATTTTCGTCAAAGGGACCAAGGCTTATTAGCTGCATTGTGTACCGCATGCTTGTGCTGTTGGCTCCTACCACCTTTTCCTACATGGCATTGTTAAACTGTACATTGTTTATTGCTCCTTGATCGGTGAAACCCAGCTACATTATAAACGTAGATACGATATGAGATACAACGCCGAAGAGATTTCACGTGAGGTTAGATCGTATTGAGTATGTCTACGGAAACCAAGCAAATAATTGACAGCACAGGACTGACCCGGCTGTACTGAATAAAATCACTCTTCTTCTGATGACGAATTCAAACTATAAGAACTTCCTCTTAAAAATAAGCAGTGTATGGGTCGACTTCCAAATCGAAGAAAGAATCAATTACATTAAAAGTTCAGAAGGGAAACAGGAACATTTTTTCGAACTCGTTTTAAATTTTTTAGATACTATACTGCTGATTGAAATTTTATTAAATTTGCATATTTATAAAACTCAGCAAAATTGAACCTATTAAAATTTTTTAAGTATTGTCATGGATGTAGATTTAACGACACTAATAGCCCATAATCATGACTCTCTTTTTTTAAAAAAAACCACATTGTTAACATAGGCAACGTTCAACAAAAGCCAAAATAAAAAATAAACGACATTTTAAAGGCTGATTAATTTAAGCTTTGCTGCCTGCCACCAGTACAGACCTATTTAGCAAAATTATACAGTGTGCGAGTCATATGTTTTTCTTCCGCCCAGTGAGAGTTCAGAATTAATAGCTCGGATCGTCAGCAACTGATTCATTATGACTCTATTAAGAATATCTAATTTTTTTTAACTTCCTTCCTCGTTTTTGTGCTTATCTTGTCAGTTAAATTGGTTTTTGCACGACGACCTTTTTCTGGAGTCCTTTGGTAGTGAAATTCCTCGTTGACTACAATCAATCTTTACTCATCTGTTACGTATTTACTGGATGCATGTTTTATTTTAACCGCACAATGATGTAAACGAAGACTACACAATTTACAATAGATCAAACTCCCATCATTCTAAAACAGAACAGAAATTGTAATGAAGCTGATAGTGAGAAGAAAAGAGAATCTAAGTAAAGGCGTTTCTCAGGAGTGACGCAAGTCCATCCATCGAAAGTGAACTATTTAAATTCTTGGGCAGTGGTTTTGCCAATTTTTTTGGATAGTCGTCTCTATAAGAGCGAAGACACTTAAAATTACCATTTTTTCAAGTTCCTGCGTGTTGACATGCGTCGCTCAAAAACGCCCGTATGCTCCATATAAAATTAGTAGTTAGGTTGAAAAGGACTAAATTAAAAACTCGAATCCTTAGATGCCTAAAACTGTCATTCACTAAAAAGGGGCGCATTAACTGACCATGTTAAAGAAAGGTAAAGAATAAAATAACGAAGCAAAACTCAGATAAGTGATGGTGATGTACGTTAAGAGGATAACGACTATTAACACGCTCTGAGATACTAGGATCATCATTGGTTCTTAATATGATTCAGTATACATCTTCACTTGCCGCCGTACAATAGAGATGAACGTGACTGGCCTCATTTTTTGAGATGAAAACCTATTTCAAAATGAATGTACCGAATCTGAATCCTTAGAATCCGGAATTAAATTTGTGATCCGACAAATTCATTCCTAACGAGATGCGTTTCTGTAAGAAAATCCAAATCCCCCTGCCCTGATTCTTGAATCCGGCCAAAAATGGATTTTTTGTCTCTCTAGTCTAACCCAAAAATGGATTTTGAATCTAAAACCGGGATCCACTGACTTCGAGTGGATTCATTATATTAAGGGCATAATGTTAGTCATATCCCTCCATTGACGAAGCCACACATGCACGCTGTGATCTCATCAGGAAACTATCTACAATCCCGGTAATTATTCGTTGAAACACTCGTAAGCGGAAAACACAAAATAAAATAAGTGGTTCCACGAATACATTTACCGCTACCCACTCCTTCCCTCAATGTTGGTTTTCAGGGTTTTGCTTACAAGTGGGCAAGAACGTCTGCCAAATCAACATTGAAAGGAGACGAAGCGAAGAAATCGGCAAGTGTTTCAACAGTTATGGCTGGGAATAGTTAAAAAACCAATTAAGCGCACGACGCCTACAGCCGAAACCTCGCGTAAGCGACCACTCAAAATGCGATGAATTAGTGGTTGGTTAAAAGAATCGAACAGAAGGTGGTCTTTTCCGAGTTGAGGTCCAGACACTTATCCTTTTTGGAAAATAATTTTTTGCAGCAAATTTCAAAGTTACAATATGTGGTATTCATCAAGTCACTTAAAGTTCTTGGTATCCTCTGAGCAGCGTAGCACAAACAGCGAACATGAAGATCAGGCCATGCGTCAAAAGGTCACTTACAAGAGTTTGAAAACAACTCAGAAAATTTTAGAACTGTCACCATAAAAAGTGCTCGCGGTCGCATATGAGAAGTGGTCCTTTACGAGCATCAGAGATTTTAAGACTGACGCCGGAAACCCATAACCCCTTAGTCGTGAAACTTAGAAGAATTATCACTTGATGAGATCGATCGATTAAAAATGCTTTATGCCGTTATGTGTTTTTTCCCCTTTTGATGACGTTACAAACTTGTTTCTTAAAATGGGGCACATACGGAACCACATATGCACATTAAAATTTAAAGATCACTTTAAGAATGATTCCTTCCTATTGTAATATTGTTAAGTCACGTGATCTTTTCAATTAATTAAGTGATTATTTGCGTTAACACGACATGATTGAAAGGTCTTTTGCGAGGAGCCGCATAAAAAAATCGATAACATAAGATGAATACTGTTTGACTAAGTATTCCATATTTACAGTAGTAAGTGAGTCACCTGACTTAGACTGATAACAACAAAGTTCATTGAATGGATGCAAACATGGATAGGAAACTGCTTGCCAAGTTTCGCCAACAATACACATAACACCTCAATAGCCACAGTCATCTTAACCCCACACTAATCAGGCGGCTATTCAATGGTCTGTGACCATTACTATTGAAGGCAACTCCTGCATACGATGACGAAGTTGACGCTGACCGGAAGTAGGGGGAGCCAAGGTCACCACACCAATGATGACACTGTTTAAAGCAGTTGCTGGTATAGCCGGATATGAAAAAGCCAGAGTAGAAAGGTACATCGCAGATCAGAAGCTGGTACTTATAGCTTGTATCTGCTATTCCGCCACCCTGGAACAATCCTGGCAGTGGTGTCCCATAATTCCCTTGGGCGACAAGCATGGAATTTTCCTCATAAGTGAAAGAGGCCTGTTGTCCCGTTGTTTCGTCCACGAAAAGAATCTCACGAAACTGTAGGATGAAAAAAATAACAAAAAGAAAGAAAGAACAGAAACGATGAGCAGAATGATCTCAAATGATATAAATGAACTTAAGAAAACGGCAAAACGGAAATATCAATTTTTAAATATGTTTTGTTTCTTGCTCACCTCAATGTTGTTGCAATCAGTTCGGTATCCATTTTCTCCGTAAGGTAGATTGCTATCATACGTCACTTCCGTTCTTGGAATCACGACTCCATCAGTTGTGTAACACATTGACCATCCGCCGCCGAGTGACGTCATATCACAGTAGGCCTGAAATCTAGTGAGGCCGCTATTTGGCTGTATCCAGTATATACCATCAGAAGCACTTGGAAATGCCGTCTTAATATCTTGGCAGCTCCTTCCTTTTTTAAACAAGAAAAGCACGTTTATTTATTTCTTCAGCGGTTCTGAGCACCACTGCACGCAGTAACTGCGATCATCACTCACCCGGCAAAATAAAGGTCCATAAGCAAATTCATATCAATCTATACTAGATGTGCAATCGGTTTGGGTAGGTAATGTTGCATGATCGCTGGATGGCGGAATAGTCTCACTGCATTCTCACTGCTCGCCAAATGTAAGGGAATTCGGGATCTTGGAAAACTTAGCTGGTAAAATCAGGAATCCTGGGCTTTGGAATCTGGAAAACAGCTCAAGGAATCCGGAATCCCACGAACGATTAGAATCCAGAATCCAAGTTCCACTGAAAAAGAATGAAAATCTAGTACCTAGTTTTCGGAATCCACAGCGTGGAATCCAGAATCCAAGACTGTCTTGGATTCCCTTACATGTGGCGACACTGTGTATAGAGGCAATGATGTATCGCGGCCCTATTTTTAAATTGGGCAGTTACTTTAGTGAAAGTGACGTCAATGGTTCAACCCTTCCACCTCCCCTGGTTCCAGTTAACGCCCCATTCCCGGAAACAAGGCATATCGCTACCCTAGAGGTCACGCTCTCCTTTCATAACTTGTATTAGTAAAATCCAACTAGTGGTCTATTATCAATGCTGCATTCTGATTGGTTGAGCGACCACTAGGCTACTATATGTTATAGCCCCCTCGTAGCGAAAAGCGAGGGCTTTTTGGCGGGAGAAAAGGATTTAAGTCTAGCTTTAACTAGCTAAATTTTTTTTAGTCTCGATATTTTTGACCAACTAGCTAGATTTTTTCTAGCCCTCATGGCCTCTGACTAGCACATTCGGCCTTCGGCCTCACGGGCTATTGAGTCTTGACTCAGAGCCCATTCGGGCTCGAGGAATAATTGTTAATTAGTTTCCCGTGACGGTGTAATAGGTATGCAGTGGCAATCTTTGATACGTCTTGTGATGTCTGCTTAAATTTACAACCTACCCAAGTTGCAGTTTGGCCCGGTATATCCTAGTGAGCACAAACACTGATAGTTGATTGGCGTCAGGGTGAGGCAGGTAGCGTTGTTTGGACAAGGACTTGATGAGCAGCTGTTCTATAAAATGAAAAACAAGTTGAAAGTTAAAGGAGCCCATTTAAGAGAAGGAATGTCCTTTAAAACTGTTTTGCGACAGACACATTTCTAGGCCAGTTGTTCCGGCGAATAAGGTTTGCCAAATCGAACTAAATTACTGACATATCGACCTAATGTGACCAAACTCTCCAAGAGTTGAACCTACGTACATAGAATCATTCTATAGTGTGATATGTTCTGTTACATTATCCACAAAATTTCAACCTATCATTTTTGCGGAAAACATAAAGGTTATCGAGGCTGACCGTGCCGTGGTGAA